AAAATTAATAATAGGAGACTGACTGACAGATAAACAACATCGTAACAGTAAGAACAAAAATATAAAATTTCAAAATCATATGTGACATATCATAGCAATACTTTAGTTTAGCAGATTTCAAATAATGGTTATAACATCAATAAAGTATGGAAATATCAATAAAGTTAATAATATGTACGTACGTATTTGGAGAATAGATTGCTTAAAGTCAACCTAGCAAATCATTAATTCATCTACAACTCACATTCCATATTCATGTATTTGTAAATCATTCATATTGTAACTTGATAAATGGAGAACATTAATTCTATGCGATTTCTAATTCTGAAATTAATTAATATTTTACAATGGCGTTAATTCAAAAAAATGTACTGTAGTCTAATATATTGCTTGGGTAGATAATATTTCATTTAAAGACTTGACAAATGTATTTGGTAGCGTATTTCACTACATTATCTATTATGAAAACAATGTGCAACGTTTTATCATACCTTGCTTCTGTAACTTTGATATATGTTGTATGTTGTACAAATAGTGGTTATAAGATGATTTACGTACATCTGTTGCAAGTTGCATAATGTATGTGACATGATTACAAATCAACTTGTGTTACATTATGGATTATGGAGAAGATAAATTTCAAAATTTAATAATATGTTATAGTCGAAGTTGAGATTGATCGGGGAGTATTATTTAACAATACACTATGAAGTGGACATAGTCATCAGATTGCACGAATCATGCTATTTAGATGGATGTCTATATCGAAGATGGTCGTGTCGTTAAGATTAGCCAAGAGAGAATGAGTTTATTGAATTATCTGTATTTGATATTTTTTATTATGCTCCACAATGAATTACCGTTTAATAATTTTATAAGTTAAACGAAGTAGCATTTGTATAGAGAGACAGAAAATGAAAAAAAATAATAAGAAGAAGAAGAATGACGCATGCATCATAGTCTTGATTACACAAGGGAACCGATTATACACGTGAATTCAAATGTATGTGAAAATGCTAAGTAAATGTACGTTTATCTCGTTTCGATGTAGCATAAAAAATATATGAACAATAAAAAGAATTCCACCAATCCCAAATAAAGAAATGATTGGGACAAGCTCGATGCAAAAATATTCCAGTAAATGAACATGCTAACGGTCCCAAATCACAAAAATAACAATCTCGACAGACCACTGGTGTCCGTTAAAGTACCAAATCTAGTTGAAAAACAAAACATAACATTTAAATATGCTACATAATCCACATAAATGGAATTACAAAAGAAGTCTTCATATCAACTCATCAACACAATTGTTAGTCTATTTCAACTTCTTTAAATTACTTATAAACATAATCAGGGTCTACTTGATAACTTGTGTGGCGTTTGCCTATGCCATCCTTGTACATGTGAGCAGCCAGTAGATTCTAGCGAGTGTAGTCTCGAAACTTTCAACATCTCTTGTACCCAAAAAGTACTAAGCTTACACCAACTTTATATGGTGAGAACACAATAATTATACCACCCAATTGGTTGTCGGGATGTATATAGTAATGTCAATCCTGAAAATTAAGAATTGGAGACTGATTGATAGACAAACAACATTGTAATAGTAAGAACAAAAATATCAAAATTCAAACTCATATGTAACATATAATAGTAATATATTTAGTTTAGCAGATTTGAAAATCACATTTAACGTAGTGTGACATACGGAGTAAATTCTTGAAATGGTTTATTCGATTAATACGAAGCTAGGCAACAAAAAGACAAGATGATAGTTCTCAAGCTCACATATATGATGCATAACTACACAACATGCTCAATTAACATAACATGCCAATATATTAACCTCTTTCGATGGACAAATCTATTACCAATAATGTACAAGAATTCATATATGTTACACACTAACCATGTCAAAATAACAGGGAACAAAAATGTACAACAATCCTCCATATGTATTACAAATAATGAAAGGATAACAACATTTGAAAGGTACTATTGCTTTTTATGAGATGATTACGAAATATATATGCGCAACTATCTCCAAAAGAAAGAAAGAAAGGAACAAAAAGTTAAATTACTACATTTCCTACTTACAATGATTCTGCCAAATTGAATCTCTATATTTTTTTTTTTTTCAAAATAATTACTTTCTTTTGCTTCTTTAGTGAGATTCAAACGGGAGGTTGGAGAGTCAAGAAGTATGTTTGAAGTCAACTATGTTTTCCATTGTCATTCTGTCAATTTCTTCCTCAAAGGACGAGCAATTTGGATTCATTTATATTATAGAGTTTAAAGAGAAGCTTTAGGAAGCTTGGCTGGGATATAAATATTGAAGAGATTTTGGATGCAAGGTATAAAATTATACAAGTTAAATTTTATGTGATTGATATTTATTTCTTCTACTTTTCTATTTTTGTGGTATTAATTGTTTACCAATACCAACATCACTAGTCCTTTTGCATTTATCAAATCTATTTTATGAACAATACCATGTTTATGTTAGCATAAATATAAAACAAATGTGTTGGTGCAATATATTAATTCAAAGAGATGACACATGGAATGGTAAAAAAATCAATAAACCAAGTAATTCAAGAAACCTCGTGGATATGTAATAAAATAAAATATACCTCAGGTTCTTACGGATACAATTCATTTTTCTTCTTTGAAGTCGAGGCTGTTGGAAAATTATTTAATTTGTCATATGGGCCGACATATGTAATTAATTGTGTATAAAGGCTATCTTAAAGTTAAGCCCAAAATTAAAATGATCTAATAAAAAATCAAGTAATTGGACTTTGGGCATCTAAATAAATTGTGAGCCGGATTATAAGTGTAGAGACCGGATCCATTAGGGTTTGTATTTGACGATGGGCCGAATTCATATGGAAATATATAAAGGGTTATGGTCCCCAATTCATGTGTGATTTTCTCATTCTTTGTGGCATCCCATCAACACAAGAATACAAGAGATAGCATATGAAAAGGAAGATCCATAAACTCTATATGTGTAGAGACCTGATCCATTAGTGTGTGTATTTGACGATTGGCCGAATACATATGGAACTATATATAGGGTTATGGTCCCCAATTCATATGCGAAATTCTCATTCTTTGTACCATCCCAACAACACAAGAATACAAGAGAAAGCATATTGAAGAGGAAGATGCATAAACTCACAATCAAGAATCAAGAAGAAGATTTAGAATAATTAAATTGAAGATTTAAATATCATAATCCGTTCAAGCAATCAGACACATAGATCAAGGTATACTTCCACTTCTAATCTTCTCTTTGATTTCAACATGTAGTATATTTATGCATGTGATTAGGGTTTGATAATTTTTTTGAATTGATGATCAGTTTCATAAATTCTTACAGAGGTGACTTTTCTATAACACTTCCTCTCTTGGAGGTATTTTCTCACACGTGAAGGGTACTCTCTCTTCCCTACGACAAAGAGAACAGAGCCTTAGTAATTAAGAATTTAATGTATACTCAGATTTGTACACATCTAGATATAGTATTCATTGTTGGAATACTAGGCATATATTTGATTAACTTTGGGATGAAAATTTGGAAAGCAGTCATTAGATCGGTATCTATAGAGAACTAAGGATTATATGATCACATTCAGGAAAATCAGACCAATTGGAGATCATTGGATATTCTGATTCTGATAATAAAATATGGCTGCAAAACATTGTCACTAGGCTGCATATTTTGGATGGATTTGAAAGACCATTTTAATTACTCCGTGACTACAGCAGTCTTCTATTCCAATAGGAGCATTTGACAATGGATTTGCATTTGACGATGGGCCGAATACATATGGAACTATATATAGGGTTATGGTCCACAATTCATATACAAAATTCTCATTCTTTGTACCATCCCAACAACACAAGAATACAAGAGAAAGCATATTGAAGAGGAAGATGCATAAACTCACAATCAAGAATCAAGAAGAAGATTTAGAACAATTAAATTGAAGATTTAAATATCATAATCCGTTCAAGCAATCAGACACATAGATCAAGGTATGCTTCCACTTCTAATCTTCTCTTTGATTTCAACATGTAATATATTTATGCATGTGATTAGGGTTTGATAATGTTTTTGAATTGATGATCAGTTTCACAAATTCTTACAGAGGTGACTTTTCTATAACACTTCCTCTCTTGGAGGTATTTTCTCACACGTGAAGGGTACTCTCTCTTCCCCTCCCATCTTTCTCTCATCTATCTCTCTCTCTCGCTTATTCCCCGCCTCTCTGTCGTCTCTCTTTGTCATCTCCCTCGTAAGGCGGTGGTGGTTCAGGTCCGACTGCCTTCTCTCTCTTTAGGTTTTTGGTGCAATGGTGGTGTTTCTATTTTCGATCTGAAGGATTTTTTTATTTTTTTGTTGGCGGTGGTGGTTTTGTATGATCGGCGACGGTGGTGGTGAACGCAGAGTCGCGACGCTGGAGTGGTGTTTTTGGTGCGATGGTGGTGGTTCTGTGCGGCTGTGACAGCGATGGTGGTGGTTTTGTGCGGCTGTGGTGGTGGTTAGGGTGATATTGTGGTGACGACGATGGTAGTGCAAGCGACGATGGTGGTGGTGGGGGTGATGTTGTCACCAAAAAGGTCGAAAACGCGTTTTGAAAATTTTGGCTTGGTTTTAAATGAAAACACCCAAAACGACATTTTTGTCGTTTTTGGTTTTCTTTGTAAATTTTAAACTCATTTTTGAAAATTCGTTTTTGAAAATATGTTAGTAAACTTGTTTTCACTACTTTGGACAATCGAAAATAGAAAACGGGTTGAAAACGGAAAAGAGAACAACCCCTTGAATCTTCACTCCCAAATCCTAACTCTAAATCCAAATCTTCATTCTTCTCTTTCAACTAAAATTTTCTTCCATTTTCACAAAACAAAGAAATCCTATTCCTTCCATAAATTTCTTGGATATGGGTCATATACTTTGGAGATTGAAGAAAACATCATGAATGAAAATGAATTTTTGCAACCACGGGGACCACAAGAAGGTATGCGTTATACCCTACATTTTGTAAATCTGAATTTAATGTTTTCTATTTAACTATATATAATAAATATTTTTTTGGGATGTTAATAAATGTTGGTTTTTGTGTATTTTTTGTTTGTTCTTGGACTAGAATCACAACCATAAAAAATGGAACAAAAGTGTATTTTCTATTTGTTGATTTTTAGCATATATTTATTTTTTAAAGGTTCTGGAATGTTAATTTTTGTTTATTTAGGTAGCACATGAGAAAACCCTAACTCTATATATACTTTGTGAAGGCATCAACTTTGAGGACCACACAAATGTTGATATAGATGGTGGGCTCAACAATTCTGATAATGAGATTGATGGTGATAATTTTGAAATGGATAACTTTATTCCAGAATGTGTCTCGGTTGGATATAACCATATTTTGGGTGAAGAAGACCAATGTGATTTAGAGCCAGAAGAATTGTATTATCCATCATCTGAGGAGCTTGATATTGATTATGCTTTGGAGTAGAAGATAACTTCAGATTTCCAGAATTATGTCCAAAGAAGGAATTGATGGATCATAAGCTGGAAGTTGGCAAGACATTTGTGGACTTAAGGAATTCAAGAAAGCAGTGAGAAACTATGGGGTTATGAGTAGGAGTAATATTAGATTCGAAATTAATGATGCAAAAACGGTACAAGCGGTGTGTAAATCAGGTTGCAAATGGAGGTTATGGGCTTTGTGGACTAAAAAGGATGTGTGCAGATAAAGTCAACCAGTCTTACATTTACATGTAGTAGAGATGGCACAAATAGGCACTGCACGTAAGTATCTTGCTGAGAAATACTTGGAGAGATTTAAGACTGTTCCCGATTGGAAACCAATAATTTTGTAAAAAGACGGTCAAAGATGATTTGAAGCTGAAGATTAATAGGATGACTGCATTTAGGACTAGGAAATGTGCTAAACTAATGATAGAAGGGTTAGATGAACGTCAATTTGGGCTACTACAGTCATACGCTGCAGAATGTATAAGAACGAATCTTGGGTCTATAGTTGTAATTGTTGTTAAGGATTCAAAATTTCAAGGCATATATGTATGCTTAGAAGCATGTAAGAAAGGCTTTCTATGGGGCTGTAGGCCATAGATAGGTTTAGATGGTTGTTTTTTGAAATGAAGCTTTGGGGGGCAGATGCTTTCAACAATTGGCTTAGACGCCAATGATTGTATATATTCCATTGCATATGCCATTGTAGAGAGGAAGAATATGGCAACTTCGAATTGATAACACCAATGAATGGAATTTTATGATCGATATACAAAAGGGGTTACAAAATGTGAATGTGATTGGTGCTAGCTATCATCTACTTGAACATAGGTACTGTGTACAAAGCATGTACACGAACTTCTTTAGGAAAGACTTCAAGGACAAAACTCTTTAAGACTACTTATGGGAACTACTAAATCCACTACAGTTGCAGATTACAAATTTTGGATGGAGGAGATAAAGAAGTTTAGTGAACGTGCATATGAATGGTTAATGAAAATGATCCATTAGAGTGGAGTAAGTCTCATTTTTCCACTAAATCCAAAAGTGACATTCTCTTGAACAACTCGTGCGAGTGTTTCAATAAGATTCTCTTAGAAGATGGAGAGAAATCGATTTTAACTATGCTAATTGATATCCAAATTAGTTTCATGAAAAGGATTCCAATGAGGAGGGATAAGATGAGGAGGGTTGAAGGACCATTATGTCCAAAAATTCAAAAGAAGTTAAACAAGATCGTTGACATGGCAAATGAGTGAGAGATAGAATCGTCTCAGGGCCCTCAGTCATATATGGTATGTCCATCAAAGGAGTATGTTATATATTTTCCCAATCACACTTGTGCATGTAGGAGATGACAACTATCAAGCATCCCATGTGCACATACAATGGCTATAATTAAAAATCGTTACAATAACCCTCGGATGTATATGTTCATGACCACTATAAGGTGAGAATATATTTGAACTGTTATAAGAATATTGTCAATCCAATAAATGGAAAGAACCTATGGCCTGATGTTGATGCACTCCCAATCAAACCACTGGGCTTGTATATACCTAAGAGGGGAAGAAAGCAAACGAAAAGAAGAAGACAACCTGAAGAAGATGTAATTTCTCATATTGGTGGTACATCGAAGATAAAAAGGAAAGATGGGGTAGAAATGACTTGTAATGTATATGGATTGACTAGCCACAATAAGAGGTACCATGCAAGAGATGATGCACCGGTTGAGGTAAGTTACTACACTTTTTTTTTTAGTATGTTAAGATTTACTTGTACATCTTTCATAATATGTTACGGAGATTGCCTTTTTTTTATAGGATTGGTACGAGAATAATATGATAAGTCACATTACTGATAAATGAAGATTCAGTTTAATTTTTATAGTCCCATTATGGAAAAATTGCTGAGTTTATTTGCTTAATTTGTATTGAAGGCTGGTTGATTCATTTTTATTATATCTTCGTTGTTGGTCGTGTCATAGATCAAACTTGTACCTTAGAGGAGGAACATCATGCTAACCAACAAGGAATAGCCTTCAATATTAGAATTCATGTTCATGCCTATGCCCGGGATTGTTTTAAGTCAATCTGCAATCTTTAATAAGGCATGACCAGCTTTTGATGCACATGTAATTTCAAGAGATGTTGGAAAAAGAGTTGGCCACCCAAGATTAGTCATGTTCGGGTTGAGAGCATTTCTATTGATGAGTTGGTAAAAGACTTGCAAGAATTTGATGTTGAGGAGAACTCAAAAAGAAGATAAGCAACAACTAGAAAAAAAGGAATTGTGAGAGGTTATGTTCCATTTCCTGAACCTCAAACCATAAGCAAGTGAAAACAAGATTCAACTTCTTTTTGTAATGCGATAGCACTACAACAAAAATACTCTTTTACAACACTTAAAAGGCAACATTTGTTGATAAATGTTGCTAAAAGGGTCTTTTAGCAACATTTTAGTAAGTGAATGTTGCCATTGGTTAGTATAAATGAGTTTTGGCAACGTTTTATAGAAAAATGTTGCGATAAACCCCCTATTTTGCAACGTTTATTGAGTGTTGCAAAATGTCTACTTTTCGCAATGTTTGTCAAAAGTTGCAAAAGGGTTTTCTTTCGCAACATTTGTCAAACGTTACAAAAGAAGCCTTTCGCAACATTTGACAAACGTTGAAAAAGAAAACCCTTTTACAACGTTTGACAGCGTTCTCCTCCAGCCTCCATTTCAATTCACACTTCACCGCCTCTGCCTCTGCTCTCCTCCTTTACGAGGCGGCATTGTGCCAGGATTTTGATCAAAAAGTAAACACCGCCAACAAGCTCACACAATCTGGGCAGATTTCAAAAAACCTGAGTTTGAGTGGTGCTTTAACCAAAAAAGCTGAGGAAATGGGAAGATCTGCTCTGTCAGCTTTCATGGCTAAGGAAGAGGAGATTCAAACGAGGAAAATGGAGGTTCAGGAGAGAGTTCTAGCACAGAGGCGTTTGTCCACTGTCCGTGAGGTATTTTTTGGGGTTATTTCTACATTTTTTATGGTTTGTTTTTATGGATCTGCAGGGAATTAAGAAGAGGGATTTAAGTCCTGAAATTTCCTTAATATTTTCCTGATTTTGTGAGATAATTTACATAATAGGAGTTTAATGTTGTAATCGGTTTCATTTTTGAAGCATAATTTAGAGGACAATTTACTTTTTGCAATTTCATATGTCAATTGGTTGTTCTTCACTCATTGTCATCCCAATAGTGAGAATTATTTTTGTAAAATTTATCAGTTGATAGTCGTGTTTCTTGCTGGATCCAGACTGCTTTTAAATGAGATTATCAAATAATTTATCTATCTTTTGAAGGGCTAAAAGATGGGTTTAGTTTTAGGCCTATAATTAACCGAACAATTAATCATTTCAATTATGGGCTTCATCTCTTCTGATAGCATGTATTTCTAGGTATTTTGAGCTTGAGAAGAATCATGCCCTGTTATATGAATATGCCTGTTGAAAGCTAGAGCTCAATTATGAGGCTTATATGCATACCATAAAAAATGGATGAGAAATTTCAGTATCTAAAGCTAATGACTTTTCAATTTGTCCCTGGTACTACCTCAAACCAACTGTAAATTACAATTATCGGGAACTAGAGGCCCTAGCTGATCCAAGGAAGAAGGAAGTTACACTTGTTCAAAATAAGATTGATGCAGTCAAAAGGAGTTAAAAACCCTTAGACAGACCTGTCAGAAGAAGGTGAAATATTTTGACTGACTTTATTTAATTTGAGACTAATTATTGATGCTTAAACTTCCATTTTCTGTGAAGAAATTAGTTGGGGTACTTCACCCAATTGCTCGAATATATATAGTTAAAAAATTGAACAGTCATATCTTGTGACAAGGGGAATAAGTGAAAACTGTCAATAATCAGGTTTTTGTCGTCTATTAATTGGTAATATCATCTTTATGATTTTGCAGGAGTACAGAGTTTCTTTGGCAAGAAGAGCATACTGCTTTTGTGACAATGGAGGAGGCAGATACTGAGGTACTTCTTGCTATATTATGGATTGCAATGCCAGGATTTTCACTTGTTAAGAAGATTCCGAACTTTTTACTTTTGACTAAATCTTACTTGTAAAGTGGATCCACAATTTGAACAATTTAAAGACTTGCATTTCAAAGTACTATTTTCTGGCTCATGTTTTTTTTTTTTTTTCACTTTCTCTATACTAAAACATGTATGTGAGTAAACTGTGCATTGTGAATTGATCTATGCAGGCTGCTAATGTAAAGGATCAAGATTCAAAATGGAATTAAACTTACTTTATATTAATAAGAGTTTGTTTAGTACCAATAATGGAACATAAGAAACAAGAATTAATATGATTCAGTGCAATGTTTGCTTGTCTGTTCATCATTTATTGACTGAAGTAAAGAAGTATCTATTTTTTCTTTCAGAATTTGTTGTGATACTTTATTTACTAACTCTTCAGATTGTTGCTTGCCAGAGAACTAAATCTTTCCCTTTATTCAGAGATTTTGGATCCTTCTTTTCTACTTTGTTACCTGGTACAAGGGCAAAACTGGAACCTCCTGAAGGATGCAGTTTCCTTAATGGTCTGGAGGTTCGTGTTTCATTTGGAGGTGTTTGGAAACAGTCCTTATCAAAACTTAGTGGAGGACAAAGATATATGCTTGCACTCTCTCTAATCTGTGCATTGCTTTGTGCCTCCGATTCTGCCCCTGTTTTGGTCCCGTTTGGTGTTGCTTCTGTGCAGTTACTTTGGCCGATTTTGGGTGTCCTTTGTGGTCCATTTGAGTGGGTAATCTTGGTCCAATTTGTATGGTGTTGCTGTGTGGTGTTGGCTCTTAATCTGAGACTCGATCCATCCATTTTAGTGCCCAATCATTGGAGCTTTGATAGGGGAGTTTTTCTTTCAATTTACATTGATTAATTCCATTGTTTATCTAATAGTTAACTTACGTTGTGTTTGTTAATTGTCTATTAGGTGATTTAAACTCACAAAAACAATGGTATGTTAGACTTTTTTTACTGACAAACAAAAGCAATGTCAACTATTTGATACAATATTCCTGGAAGCAGAGAAGGTTGATCAATATACTTAACATTGAACATCAGATAAGGTTGATCAATCAGCTATTATTTTGTTCTTTCTTAAGCATGGTTGAATTTGTATCTCAATTTGATTTTTCTGTTCCAGGTAAGATTAGATATTCACCCTTGCTAGTGCTAAATGATAGATTATAATTGGTATTCAGTACATTAACTTAATGGTGAACTTGTAATTGTGCTTTTACTTTGCACCTTGAATTTAGTAATAGTAAATATCAGGCTACGATTGCTTGATCAGTTATTTAGTGTAGGATCATAGGATTATGATTTATTCACTTAATTAAAATAGAGATGCTNAGTGCTAGCATTCACAATAACTGAAGAATCTCCAGCAAGGATTCCAATTGGCAAACGACTTGATGAAGTGGTTGCTGATTAGTCTTTAACTCTTGACAGAACGTATTCTACGTGGAGTCAAATTGGCTGCATATCATGTTGCTGGTCGACAGATAGTGTCTTCCTTTCACAATTACATAAACTGAACAAAAATCTGGAGCAGCCTTGTTTACCAAAATCATGAGTCCAAAATTTCTTACTCGAACAAAATAAAATTCATTCTCTCACTATAAATTCTAAACCCACTATAGATAAAGATTGAGAGAGAGATCTTGAAAGAGCACTCATCGACGAGCCACCAAGAACTTCATTAGTAACTTGGTGATGGTTGATGTAGTCTATAGAAATGGTATTTAAAAAAAAAAAAAAACACCCTACGGTAACGTTTGGCAACGTATCTATCAACGGCAATGTTCAGCAAACGTTGCGAAAGACAGTCTTTTGCAACGTTTGCCAAACGTTGCCGTAGGCTGTCTTTCGCAATATTTGCCAAACGTTGTTGTATCTCTACGGTAACGTTGCCGAAGACTTTCGGCAACGTTCAAAACGAACGTTGCCGTATCTCTCTACTCTACGACAACACATCGATTTACAACACACGTCCAAACATTGCCGTATGCTGTTTTTGTTGTAGTGTAGGAGGATTTGCAAGCAGCAACATCCTTTTTGATTGGTAATGGACCAAATGACCAAAGAAATTTATGTTTCATTTTGCTTGACAATTGACCAATTAATTTAAGTTTTTGCTTGCTAGGTTGTTTTTATGATACTTTCAAATTCTTGGGTTCTAAACTATGATTTCCAGATTTCTACTCATGGAAAACTTGGTTCATTTTTTTTTAGAATTGTTATGGTAATGGGAGCATTGTTATTTAGTTACTTTTATAGTTACATTTTATTTTTAGTCAAAAATCTTCAAAAAATATTCGGGTAACTCATGGCCGACATTTTTCCCTTTACATATAACTGGTGAGTCATGTAGATCTTTTTCCATGTACAACAGAAACTAGAGGAGCACTATAATAGTAACATTTTCCAGTCCATTCAATGCTTTCGGATGTATAAAGATACAGCTTTCTTTTGAACTTCATGACTCTAAGTAATGTTGTTGGAAGAGAAATGCTTTTATATTATATTTAAAAATATTGCAAAAGAGATTTACATAGATAATAAAAATAAAAATGACACAAAATACCTAATACAAACTAATGCACCATGAACCATAGGCCAACATACAACAAATGGTCTAAGAGGCATTTGACAAACAATACATATAGAAGAATCATTTTGTTTGTTTCCCATCTTCATGGCTATACACTCTTCACTTCTTAAACCACCAAAATTGAATAAGACATTCACAAAAAAGAGCCCAAAATCCAAACTTAAAGTTTTTGATGCCCGTGAAATCTGCATCCAATAAACTGTTGCCTCACTTTTTTTGTCCATGATTCCTGACATTAGAGACTTATCCACAAAGGCATAATGTTCATTCGACAATTTGGGGATCACTTGATGAACGAGGCATCTCCATGAGAAGAATGAAGATTTGGGAGTGAATCTTAGACGACCTGGGAGTGAAGATTTAATTATCTCAAATATTAAAAAACTTGTTGCCAATTGTTTAAGTTGTGTTAGGGGCTGTTTGGAAGGGCGAGTTATTGACATGGATTGTTTTAATGGTTAAATAATGCGATATCAGATTTTCATCCGTCATGTGGACAGTTCCATCAAAGGCTTCAAATGGATTCCATATCAGTGATGGATAAGTTACATTTATGATACTTGAGTAAGCATTGAGGTACATTTTAAAGTTTGATTAGTAAGTAGTTACATAAATTAAAGTTTAGTGACTAATCATTTATTTTACTCCATTTAACACTTAATTTTACTTCTCCCAAAAATATTTATTATTTTTCCCTTTATTTTATTTTCACTAGTTTTCCTCCAAATTATTATATTATTTTCTTTTATTGAAAATTAAAATATTTTGAATGCATTTAATTATAGAGAGTGGATTCAGCTCATTCTGTAAATTAAAATGTTAATTTATATTGTATTTTGAAACATAATTTTAAGGGTTGACTTTTTAAAATAGCGAGCATCTTATATTTAAAGAGCTTATTGAAGATGCTTTTAAGTGGAATTGGATGTGATTTATGATTATTTTAGTTTTACTTTAGAGTCACAAAAAGTTGAATAGTAGATTTGTGATTTTGAATATAATTTATGTAGTCCACGTAATTTTCATTTTCTATCCACACTTATATGAAATCCAAACCAAATAAGACAAACTGAAAATAAATAAATAAGTGGCAAATTAGGCCAGACACCCTAAAAAATTCACTAATTTGATTAATACCCTATTAACTAATTAAATCATTTAACCATGTATTTAATACGTTCTAAAACCCTCGAAATCCCCCAAAACTCATATCAGTCCCAATTCCAAAAAGATCCCAATATCACTATAGATTGCTCATTTTCAGGTTGTTACATTACAATTAATGTCACTGAAAAACTTTACTTTGGGTGAGAACTCAACAATATTCAGTAGCACCTTTGAATTAGCGGCGAATAATGCAAGTTTTGGTAAATGGTTCTTTCGTGAATACTACAGGGTGCAGAGCTTTAGAATTAGTAAAGGGATTATGAGTCCAGAGTTCTGAATCACCCATTCTGCTACACCCGAATCGAAATTTAAACCTGAATAATTTTGGACTAAGGAGGGAGTGTGTTTGGGGGGGTGGGGGCTGAGGTTTTGGAGGAAAAAGAGTCGTTGATTTGTGAAAGTAAATGCTTAGGTTATGGAAGCTTAATTGTTGGTGATCATAGTGACTGTGATGACGACTTGGAAGGAATAGAGAGTACCTAGTTGGATGAGGAATTAGTTCGACAACGACGTTTGTGGCAACTATTGCAGCCCATAAGGCAGCTCAAAAAGTGTTGAATGATTTGCAGTTGCAGCTTGATGTACTGTATAAAATTGCAACCGAGGCACCATGTATTGCTCCCTAGCCATCTGCACTGAGACTCGTTGTTCATGCCAAATGGTGATCTTTTTTTATATTAAATATGATGATTTGGAAGTAAATTGAGTTTTTTTTTTCATTATGTGTAATGTCTGTAAAAATTGATGTGAAAGTTTAAATGGGATTGAAATGGCGACTATTTGGATATTTGGGAAATGATGGGAGGCTAGGATTTGAATTTGGAACCATAAACATAAATTTAGTTTAAACTAAACAGACTATTAATTATTGCAAATTCTGTGATTCCCCAGCTGAATTGTGATGTTATCACATTTGTCATATTTGATATATGGTGCAAGAGAACTTGGTGGAACTAATGAGATAAGGTTGCAGTGGTTATTAGGCTACACTTTGTTGTTTCTAGTTGTGACTATCATAGCTATAAATAAAGTTGCACTGGTTATAAATTGATTATCATGTATTTCTTTGACAGGTGTTCTATGGCTTATTAGCCCGCCCTTTAACTTAGGATGAATATTGATGTCAAGACACTGTGTTGCTTTTTGTCAAATTCTCGATAGTCAACAACGTAAATAAAAGTGACT